ATAAGAAAAATTAACTTTAACACTACTTGTACACAAAAAGAAATTAAGCCGCTATCAAACTCATATAATAAATTTATATTAACATAAATATAAATAACTGCAGTTTCCATATATTATTAATATATAAAAAAATACTTATGGGCAAATAAAAGGTCTTTACTAATTTCTGTGATTGTCGGCACATATAATAAAATATACCCGCACAAAAACGTATATTTGACAATATATACGAATATATTTTTACCAGCAGATTAATTTATTTATAAATAATATTTGATAAGTTATTATTAATTTTCTACTCAATGTTGAAGAACAATTTCGAAACTGCAATGAGTCAGTCAGTCTGTTGAATTAACAGAAACGGTTTTTGGAACCACCCAAGAACAGCTCACAGCTGTTTAATGCATCATTCAAAATCGTATGATTTTGAGGAGGTATTTAAACTGCAACAACTTTATATTTTTGTTAGTGTATGGTTGTTCTTTATGGCTGGGTGCAAAACACATGGCAGCACGTGCGCGTAGAGAATTCCAAAGGTTACAACTGATAAGAGGAGTAACCAAAGTTGCAAGGGCAAAAGTGCTCTTTGAACTATTTGTACTCTTATTCTTTCCTCTTAAATGCGAACATTTAATAGTGGGTGGATGATTCAGTGTTAAATACATATTCAAAAAGCCGTTTTAAATAAATAATTTATTTAGTAATTATGCAAAATTAATTTTCTATTTTAATTAATTTTCTACTTCAATTAATTTTATTTATAATGTGCTATGGAAAATTTTATAAGATGAAATTTATTCCTAATTAAAAATGCACTGCAAATGCAGATAAGAAACAAAGTGCATATAAGAAAAATGTATTCAAATTATAATATAATTTAAATATTATGATTAAAACTTATTTTTAAACTAATATGAAATACTAATTTATTTATTACTTTTAAAAAAAGTAATAATTAATTGTAATACTACGCAATTAGGATTTAATTCTACTAAATATATTTTTAAAAAAAATTTTATTTTAAAATTTTAGCAAGTACTAAACCTAAAACTAATTTTTTGCTGTTATAAGGCCTTGGAACTCTTTTATTCAAAATTTTCACCAACTTCAAATGCAATTGGTTTTTTAGTATAGTCAGTTACCTGTGTTTATTGTTTCCACTCTTGCTATGGTAACCCCATAACCTTTTGCAATTGTGCTAAACGACTTACACCTTCAAACAAAGCAACAAGCCAATTGATATGGAAAAAATTCACAACAATGAGGTGTAAGTGGACTCAATTAAGTGGGTCAGGTCATACAATGCAGTGTTGTTTATGTTATTTCACATGTCAACTTTATTTTCATACAAAAACAACTATTCATGAAAAAATACTACAAAAATTTAAACAAAGAAAATTAAAGACTGAGAGATTCGATATATTTTTGAAGTTTAAATAATTTCTTTTGCAGCTAAGCTATAATAACGATGCAAACAAAATACAATACCTATGTATTATAGTTAATGGAACTTAGTTGTACAAAAACAAAAATATGTACTTTAATTTGATTTCAAAGCGTTAACGCAAACGCCTGAAACATAACGAGTCCCAAAGGAAGCGATAATACCGAATGCAAAAGAATGAATATTGTTTGACTCACCTCAGATAAATCTAAGGAACCTTAAAGAACATAACAGAAAAAGATCAACGAATACTAGCACGTATTGTTTCACGTCAGATAAGACAAGTCGGAATGTTTTCATTTCCACGGCTACATTTATCAGATACTTGATATTGTAGCCTCATTGATCTACTCTACTCATTGATGGTTTTCATATAAAAATTTCTATCTTTAAAACTCGATATCGTAAATATTAAACAATTATAACATATATTCAAAGTTATTTGAAATGATTGACTTTACTAAAATGAAACGGGCGTACCCGAAAAATCGGAATCATGCTGCAAGATCATAAGTGCAGCTAGATTAGGTGGATCCATAATATTTACTTAAATCAGTTACTAAATTAGCGTAAACGGAAAATCAGCTTTGTGCTGAAGAGTCATATGTGCTGCTGGATGTATAGACATATAGACACTTCTTTACTAACTTAAAAAATTATAAAATTCAACACTCATCTATATTCACAACAATCTTTTAGACAGATAGTTACACTATAAACTATATTTTTATTATTATTCCATTTACTGAAGTCTTATCAGTTAAACTGCTAAACATCCAAATAATAATTTAAAATAATCTAATTTACCTTAATAGTATATATATAACATGTATATTTCCTTACTAACCGTATATTTCCTTACTATCTTAAAATTAATATTGTTATATGATCTATATCGGATATGAACTGTTATTGTTTTTAATGGAAAATTGCGACATACTCAGCTTTTTTGAAATTTAAAATAAATCAACGGAGTAGCTGTTCCAGAATATTACACGAGAAATGTAATTATAGTAACCTATCTTGACTGTGATAAACTTATTACAAAAAATATTCATGAAAATATCGGAGTAACCTAAAAATTAATGATTAATAATTGATGTATTTCCAAAGATAAACATCAAGAACAAGTATTATTTATATTAATAGCATAAATATGTATATTTAAATTAAGATTACAAGATAAATTCTGAAATGGACTACCTTCTATGAACTACTTCTTATTAAATGACAATAAAAAACTTCCGATTATGTAAAGTGAAAAAACAAAAAACGAGTCGTATATCGCCATATACCCTTTATTAAATCGAACCCATCATAGAATATCTTAGCTGGGAACGAATCATGTATCTCCATCTATTTTTCTATAAATCTAAACCATCATAGAACATATCAGCTAGAAAAAAGTGGCGTATATCCATCTAGCTCTCTTTGAATCTTAGTGATCATAAAACACATCACCTATATTTAAATCTAAATTTAATTTTAATCAATTCAAAAATTCCTTATGTTTTTTCCTGGTGTTTTACACCTTATGATTATGTTAAGCAGGCGAATAAATAATCGTTAATAATCACATTTGTTCTTATTTTCAGTATAAGTTAATATGCAATAAGAACAAGATTCTGAGTATACGATTATATAGGTTAGGTTACGTTTTTGTTATACCGGCGATTCCAGGGGGATCCACTTAGGCCTATAGGCCCATTGTGCTACCGTATTATTAAAAACCCAAGGGTTAAAACGATATGGAACCGTTGACTATACTTATAATGCTAGATCCTAAAGATCGCCAAGATCTTCAAAAAAGAAAGCCCCTAAAATGTTAAGGCGGCGCCTTAATATGTTAATCTGCTATAACACGATTACTGTCAGTTTATATGACTGACAGTAATAGATTTTCGCTATCTTGACAAATATCTTAAATATTTAATAATCAAAACTGCATAAAATTGTACTATATAATATTTTAATAAATTATCTCAAGAAGTAATGATTAGTTTGAGTTAAATCAGATAGCCAAGCAAACGACTGGTAGTACAACAGGGGAAAATATATATTTATATATATATATCGACCACTATATATATAGTGACCGATTTATACTTTAAACAGTATATGAGTGAAACAAAATTCTTGATAAAATATTTTTCACTTTTCACATTATATATATAGAGGGTATAAAAAAAATTGGTATAAACATAATATATAAATATAATATATATAATAAATATATATGATAATATAATAATAAAAAGTATTACAATATGTATAATAAATATATATTATAATATATATAATAAATATATATTATTATATATATAATATATATAATACATTTACATAAATATAATATATATAATAAATATATATAAATCGGTTCAAGAATTTTTATACTTATTTGAATAGATAGTTAGCAATTGCTAGTCTCTTTATTTATTTATTTATTTTTTATTATTTATTTATTTTGTATTATTTATTTATTTTTTATTATTTATTTAGTTTTATTATTCACAACATTTAGTGAAATTCCGTTTTAATACATTTTTTTAATGTAATTATATTTAAATGACTTATAGTTTTTATATGCTTTTTTTATTAATTTGATATAAAACTGCAGTAAATTATATAACAAAAATTATTACAACTGTTTATAATTATATTTAAAATAAATAAAAAATTGTATGCACAATTTTGCTAACCACGTGTAAAAGAGAAAATAAAGACAACCACACAGCATTGTTGTGTCAGAGAGACCTGAAATTGTGCAAAATGAACAGAAGATAAAATAAAAGAGAAAAAATTGCTTGCTGACCAATGTTTGAGAATATTTTAATTTGAAAACATAGTTTTTGAAGAAAGGGGAGTAGCAATACAGTAAGACAGTAAGAGGTGAAGAACTGAGTTACATTTTATTTACACAAAAACATCTAAAAAGCAGACGTCATTATTGCATGACAAAATACTTTTAACACAAGTTTAAAATTTCATAACAAAATTAATACGATTATAGATTAGCAAAACTCAAACTTACCTGTTGTATTAATTAGAATTTAATTGATTTAATGGAAATTATTTGTTGTTTAGCAGGTTTGTCGTTATTGTTGTCGAAGCACATTTAAGGCGCAAAAAAAAATATATATATATATGTATAAAAATTAAATTTATTAATAATCGTATTATACTATATATTATAAATAAAAATTTTTAAAACATACTAATATTTTTGAATACAATATATTAAATTACAATCACTTAACAACTTTCTAATTTAATAACTAATTTAACTTTTGCACATTTATCAACAATTTTTGTTTTATTTCTAATCGCCATGCAATATGCAGTTTTTTATTTGAAGGAAAGTGGCTTTAATTGTACCCCAAATTAAATTTCTCTATTTTACGTATTTACTTTTAATTTTTTCAATTTGGTTTGCACTTTTCTACTTTGTTTGTTTTATTGTTTGATTCATAAGATTAACAACTTTCACAATTGGGTATAACGCAATAATTTGCATAATTAACCGCATATAAGCACAGCTAAGAAGTTTACTTACAAAATTTCTTACAAAGATATACAACGCTTTAATTGATTTAATGAATTAAACTTATTTTTATTTATTTAGATAAAATTTATATTGTCTGCCCGCATTTATTTATAACTACAACAGCAACGTATCGGTCTCAATCACGTTTGTTTTACGTCTGTTTAGATTTCTTTGCCCAAGTTAATTTTTGACATTTTCGCGTGTCGCCGAGTAGCAGCAAGAAATGGGTACTCTTTTTTCTCTTATTTTATTGTGCTCAATGTAAATATTGTAATTTTATATCAAGAAACAACGATACATTTACAATTTATTGAAGTATTTCAAACAGAAATTGAAATAACTTTAGATTATATTGTTTATTATAGTATATTAATATTTTAATATATATATTATGTGATGACGTCGATTTACTATCCATATAATCCAAACCGCTTGAGAGCAAAATGCCTTATTTCTCTGTACTAAAGAATTCCAAAAAAAAAAATTGCTGAAAGGTACAACAACTACAACTGTCATTTTCGGATGTGGCGTGATACTTTGAAAGCGATGCGCATGTCTAAAGCTGACTTTAAAAATTCATATGTGTAAGCGGGACGCAATATTGTTTATTGTACAAATAGGTAAATCATAAATGCCGTTACAAAACTAAGGGTTGCAAAACAAAATAAATTTAACAAAAGCAATGTTGCTATATTTGTGTATTTGTACAATATTTGAATCCCATAACGTTTTCTATCCAAATATATAAATAAAAATAAACACTGAAACTGTATAATTAATTTTTATTAATAAAAAATTAATAAAAATAAATAAACTCTAAACAAATAAAACAATATCAATTTATATAAAAATATCAATTAAAAATAAACACAAAAACTATATAAACAGTTTCTTAACAAATATATATTACAATAATAACCTTTAAATAATAAATAAATAATAAAAATAAATAAACTTTAAACAAATGAAACAATATCGATTTAGTATTTTAGCTTTATATATTATTTCATTTTTTACAAATAAATTTATGAATTTGTATATATAAAGCAGTGTCGATTTATATAAATACATAAATAGAAATAAATACAAAGACTAAACAATTTCTTATTTAATGAATTTACAATTATACCTTTTGAATAAAATCAATCTTCATCTCCAAAAATTATTATCGTCGGTTCATATTTTCATATAACTTCCATATATTAAATGTATTGCTGTAAGCCGTAAAACTCTTGATATTATATTCTCAACTAAAGCTGACTAATTGTTACGAATAAAAGTACGCTAAAGCAACTATGTTATGTATGAAAACATTCAGATTATATAGCCCCATGAATTATATATGCCAAAGGAGCCAAAAATTTTTCACCATTTAATTATATTATAACAATGCACGCTATATGCATAAAATTGTAATTGCAGCTTCTGAAACGATCAAAAATGTTTGAAAATATCTGAAATAATTTAATATAAATTGAATGTAGATCTTATTCCTTCCACATATAGAATAAAAGTATTATATTAATTAGCAAACCTCTCTGTAATGTAAATAAAAAGTTTAAGGATCCTATTAAGTACATACAATTTTTTTGATAAGACTAGACGAGGTAATTTGATTTTCCGTCTGTCTGTTTTAGCATAAACTGCGGTCATTTCGATTTTGAACTTCACAAATTAAATGATTAAAATCTATTAATATTAAAGAATATTTTCACATATAACCTTTATTGAAATTAAACCCTTAAAATAAATTATATATTTTAATTAAAATTCAAGCCATCGAGTGAAATTGAATAAAATTATTGAAAATTTAGTTACAAATTCTCTTTTTATTATTATAACTATTGTACATATTATACATTACTACTACAGCGAAATTAATCAATATATATGTAATTAATATAAATAATTTAATATTTATATTTATATATATGTATATCATTTAGGTATATAGACTATATCAACTATGCATCCTGATAATTGAAATGTAAATTCTTACTAAATTATCATTTAGTAAATTATTTGTTCCAAATTTTTATAAAACAAATTGACTAAAACCAAACATCTTTAAAGATTTGAGTGATCGACGATTTGAGTAATATAACTACCGTATAATAAAAATATTACTATAAGCTGCAAAACTCTTGATATCGTGTTCTTAGTAGCTCTATGTGGAAGATACTTTAGTTTCGGAAAAACTGAGGCTAATTATTTGTTACTAATAAACACTAGCTTAACCAAATATATTAAATACAATAACATTTAGATTACATGAAAGATCATCACCGTAAACAAAAATTTGCTGCATAATTCAATTAATATTCGTACCGTCATTTTAAGATTATTGCGAAAATTTAAAATTTCTTCCAATGCATATTAAAAGAAATATACATTCTACTATATTTATTGGTAAAAGGAATGTCAACAAAATAACTCTTTCAGTTCTTTGTCCAATAATACATACAGCTAAAAAAAATTTTTCTATAATAATATAATAATAACATGAGAAACGCGAAAAATTTTAATTACTATATTCTTAAATGATTTATTAAATAAAATATATTGTAATATAAATTACAGGTTATTATTCAAAAATAATAAAAAAAGGAGAATATATATATATATAGTAACCCCTATATTTTATGTATCAATAGAAAAGTTTATATCAAATAATATTATAAAACATACAATAAAAATAGGCCTATTAACTATATACTAAATGTGTTTGAATTAAATAATTTTTTTTAATGATTTCATATAACTTTAATTTTTAGCACAGAAAAAAATTTTTTGATATTCACCAAAAATATATATATGAATATGAATATAAAATAAAATATATTGTTAATGAGAAATAGAAAGCTTTCTTCCTTTGCATATTTATTCAAACTAATTTTTAACGACAATTCTTAATAAAAATTATTTGCAAAATAATTTTCCATACAATAGCTTAAAAATAATAAAATAAAAATAATAGGTAGACCTTTTATATTTATATTTTTGTTTGCTCTGGATAACCAGAGTATACTTAAATTATAAAGATTTTAATAATTCATATTTTATTGAAGTTTCTTGTCATAGGACAAAAATAATTTTTAATTAATTGAAGTTTAACGTTAATTTTATATTGAACTGATTACAAATAATATTTTTATATCTTAAAAGATAAATATATTAACAAAATATTTTCTTTTTAATGGAAACATGTATTACTTATATATATATATATAATATAAAGTTTTACTCTTACTTCTCGTATAAATAAGTAAAACTTATGTTGCTTAACAAAGTCATTAAATAAAGATGCATTAAATTGTTATTAATTTATAATAATAATAATCATATTTTAAAAACTAATTTCCACCAATGAAATCTTCATCAATATTTTCACTTTTGATCGCAGTACTCCTTGTATCATCTGGTAGTATACATTCATCTGCTTGTTGATCGCTAGTGATTATAATTACTTTCGTAGTTGAAGCTGCAGCAGCAGCCGCAGTTCGTGTAGTACGTTTTGGCGTTGCTTCTAATATCACTGACTTCGAAGCTATTGTTGTTGTTTGTGTCATAGTTGGAGATGTTACCGAGAGTGATCCAAAAGGCGTACCACTAATAAGAGAAGATATTGGAGCAGCTGATATCGCTGGACGTTTCGGTGGTGGTGGTCCTGTCACTGTGGTTGCCGTTGGTGGCGTATTAAACTATATTAAAAAGAATATAAAAACATTATATATAAATTATATGTAGTAAATATAAAAAATCTCGTAAAGATAATAATAATATATAATCATATTGTTCAATTATAAGAATTCCATCATTAATTTAATTTTAAAATTAACAACTAGGACACAATTTCTTTTAACTGTGCAAAACACATAAATAAGAAATTAAAATCACGTTTTTTAAATACGATAATTTAATTTGTAGACTAATACAATATCACTTTTTTTTATTGCTAAATTAAAATTAAATTTTTTATTGCTAAAAATTAAGTTGGCTATCCGCATTTATATCATTGATCAATTAAACAATTTAAAATTACCTGACGATAAGGTAAGCAACTCCGTTGATTACTTCTTAAGGATAAAGATGTATTAGTTGATTTAGATGGAATCGGAGTAGAGGACTGTAAAGGCGGTTTAGCATAAAAAATACGTGGCGATTCTTGAGCGGGCAGTTTCAAATTTTTAGTTGTTGCATTTGATTTTTTTAATAAATTCTTTATGGTTGAGGATCTTAAATCTGGAACTGTTGATGAAGGCTCAACACGTGTTGACATTGTAGGTTTCGTTACTTGGGAAGTTGAAGATACATCTTGATATTTGAACCCTATTATATTTTGATCAGCATCAAGTATAGGCAAGTACTGTTCATTGTTTTTATGTTGTTCCTTTTGAGGTTGCTGTTTTTGTACTGGCATTTTTCTTTGCTGTTGGGGACGTGGTGCTTTCGTCTTTCTAGCCATATCGTTTACAATCTCTTTTTGCTGTGGTGTGCTTGTTTTCACAGCAGTTAAAGATGTTGTAGGTTGAATAGATGGAATAATTGGTGGTGGAGTGTTTAATATCAACATATATTCTTCCATGAGGCGGACAGCACAATCAATATCTTTTGAACTGAATTTGTTTAAATTTGATAAACTATCAACAACGCGTTGCCGTTCGCTAAAGGACATTTTTGATAAATTAAGTTGGATCAATTTTGTTAAGGTTAAATCAAAACGTTGTACACTTGAACGTAATAGTGAGCGCTGATATTCGGGTAAAGAAACTGGAGTTTTTAAATTGCTGGTAGTTGCAGGAGATGGGGGTGTATCAGCTATATTTGCCGATTGAAGAGATTTAATATTTTTGGGCGTTAGTGTTGTTGTCGATGGTAATTGTCTTTGCAAAGCATTAATTGTAGATGATAAATGAGATGGTTGTAATGGTTGTAAAGCAGGCGGGCCTTGTGTTGAAGTGGCTGGGGTGCTAGAACTAGCAGTAAGCATTTCTACCTTGTGCCTTATTGAAGCCGGAATTGAGTTCTTATCAGTTTCTAAATCAGCACGTGTTATCAATTTAGTAGTCATCACAATATAAGCAGGTAGTTCTCGCACAACTGCTTGTGTCCTAGCATGTATACGTGTTGGGTCAATTGCTGGCATTGGGCCATCCAAATTAGGACAACAATAATCTAATAATACACCACCATAACCTCGATTATATTTTGCGGGATGTAAGAACGAATAAAGACGTGTACCATTCGCGTCGACAATAGTAGGAGATATACCAGTTGTAGTTGGTAGTGTAGCAACGGGAGATTGCGTCGATTGGTGACTCGAAGGTAAAATACTTGATGCTGTAGAGGGTAAAATACTTGTCGGAGTTGAATTTATATTATAAGCACTTGAACTATATTCTTCAATTTCTTGTTTTGGTTCTATAAATGGTAAAACTTTGGGGCTTGTAGTATTTGGAGTTCTTATATTCAATGTTGCAGAAGTAGAAGCATTAATTCTTGCAGTGAACTCTTTGTTTGGCTCAATTAATACTGAGCTTGGCAAAGTTGATTTGGCATTTATTAGCGACGCTAACACTGGTGATTGCGTTGGTAATGCTGGTGTCGAAACGTTTTTATCCAATTTATTTTTAGGTTTATCTTTATTCTGTGCCTGTAATGTCGAAACGCGTTTAGGTAACTGCTGTTGCAATGGTTTCGTTTCTTCATCAGTTACCTGCTTACGTAGAGTAGTGAAAGCAGTTGCTTTTAATGGTGTTAAAAGATTACCGTCTTCGTCATCCGTTTTAACACGTTTATTAACTTTAAAAAATTAATTAAATAATAAAGAATTATATAAATAAATAAATTTCTAAAATAATATATATTATTGTATAAAATTTACCATCTTCTGGTTGATGACTGGATGTTGGTGTATTAAAGTCTGGCAACTGAGGTTGCTGTTGTTGAAAGGAAAGTACTCCCTTCGACACTTCAGAAATCCTTGTACGCAAATGTGTATTTAATTGTGATAATCGCACCAATGGTGTTTTTTCTGCTCTCCTATCTATTACCTCCTTTGAAGCTGCAGCCGCTTCAACAGCCTTTGAAACAAATGAGGTACCAGCTGAATTAGCAAGTTCTGTTTTTGCTTCACTCGTAGTTTTAGTTTTCGGTAAAACAGTTTTTGGTAAAACTGTTTTTGGTAAAACTGTTTTTGGTAAAACAGTTTTTGGTAAGACAGATTTTGAAAAATGTCCTTTCGCTGAAATATTTTAAAATATTTATTAAAATATCATTAAAATGCAATAGAAAAATATACAGTGCTCAGTTGAAAATATAAATATTGGCTGGCATGAATACATTTGTCTACAACGTAAACAAAGTTTTCCATTTTAATTTTGGAATTTATTTGTTTATGTTTTCAAACAAGCACTGTCATCACAAAAAAAACTATAAGCTAATTTTGAATATGGCACATATTAATATCATAACTTTTTAGAGTATTTTTAATAATATAGTATTGCTTAGGTAATAAGTATAAGACTTATATAAGTTTTTCAAATTACATTTTGCAATTACTATAACATTATAAAAATAAAAATACAGATTAAAAAATTATGAATGTTTGAAATAATTACCATCTCGTTCTAGATGTCTCGATCTGGATCTAATGGTAGATGAAGTGTTTGCAATTACTTCCAGTTTATTGGTGATTTCGATAGTATTATTTATAGTCTTTAAATATTTATCCACTATACTACGATTGATTCGAACACGTAGCTTCTTTAATTGCTTCGGTTTAGAGATATCCTATAGAGAATGTTAAAAGATTGAAAAAATTATAAAATGTTTGATTCTTTGTATTGCATTTTAACTTACATGTTGACTTTGCTTTTTATGTTTTGCAGATTTGGTTTTTATTTGAGAAACACATGATGCAGGCCTTTCTGGTATTATGCGACTTTTAATAATTCTAGTTCTTTCATTTGGGACAGGTGACACTACTGATAATGAGCTCTTTGTTCTTAACTTTCCTTCGCTATACATATTTTCAAAACCACTTTCTCTCATTTCTAATGGCATAGAAGCGCGAAGAATGTCGATTTCTTTAATACGTTTAGGTTTTTCAAAATCAGAAAATATTTTAATAGTTGAAACTTTGCTAGAATCAACTTTTTCTTTTCTATCTCCTTCTACACAAATTTCTATTCTTTCGCTGTTACTACCTAAAGCTTCTTCTGTTACTACTGATTGTAATTTTTCTGTTGAAACATTAGCTTCGTTTGTATCTACTAAATGGTTCATTTTTGAAATTTTTTCTGAATTTTCACCATAATTAACAGATTTTGCTTCTTCATTACCTTGGACTAAATAATCAATATTCTTTGGATTAATGGAAGTTTCCGATGCAGTTGAAGTATCTTCATCAACATAATTTAATGTTCGGTCTTCCAACGATTTAACTACATCTATAGTTATTATTTTTGATCGTAAATTCTTTTTATTTGAGATGTCTTGTTTGCAATTATCCAAATCCTCTAAACCAACTTTCAGTATGTTTTCGGTTAGCATGTTAAAATTTAAAGATTTGTCTTCTTCAACTATTGACGCTGCTTGTGATCTCGTTAATTTCCTAGGCACTACTTCTTCATTAGAATTGCGAGAAAATATTGTGTCACTTGTTTCAATTTCTGGGCATATCTTTTTCGAGCTTTCCAAAGGACTTTTTATATTTTTTGCTATATCCGCAGACGAATCCTTATCCTTTGATTCTGACAAATTAGCGTCAACTATAGACAATGAACTACTAGATCTAGTTTCTCTTACATATGTTGTATCAGAATTTCTTTCAGTTGTTTTATTGCATGATAACAACTCACTTACTGTAGATGATGGAACCATTTCAATCTCTTCTGCTGTAATCGTTTTCGAATGAAAGTCCTTGCTTTTACCGCGGACTAAAAATAAAAGTTATAAAAATTAATATTGGAAGAAAAATTTTAAAATAAAATTTTACGACTAAGTTACAGTTGCTATTAATATTAGTTACTCAATAAATTATTTTATTGATTAATAAACTAAAGATGCCAAAAAAGTTTTAACAATAAAACGCAAGTTATAATGCTTACATAATTAGTAAGTAAGCATAAGTGATACAAGAAATATTGCCGTTATAATCTATTTACAAGTAAAACAAAAACTTTTTTCATTTTTTAAAATTTGAATCGGATTACTACCAAAGAACGTTCCACTTTCACAAATCTTTTCGGATTACAATAAAAAAATGTTTGATCATCATATGGTGCTCAAGCATCATATGGTGCTCAAGCATCATATGGTGCTCAAGCATCATATGGTGCTCAAGCATCATATGGTGCTCAAGCATCATATGGTGCTCAAGCATCATATGGTGCTCAAGTATTTATGCCGAACTAAAAATAATGGAAAAAATAAAAACAAATTGAATTTTAAAGCAATGTCAAGATCAATACATTGAACTGTATTAACGAAAAGTGGTGTTCATACCAAATAAATGAGTTTAAAAATCAGCTATTGAGTACACATTTTCAAATGCATCTCTGCATGCAATAAAAAAATTGTATCTGCATTTTTAAAATTTAATTAATCTATTTCATATTTGAAAAAAAAAAAAGAAACTCACTTTCACGACGAATACCAAGTTTTTGACGCTTTACTGGATGTTGGTCTTCATTACCTGAAACTATGTGATTAGTTTTTATTTATAAAAAAGTCTCATATATAAATATATACTTTTTGTTGCAATACTATCCATTAAAGCTGCAGAGCGCTTCACAGGTGCTGGAGAATCTATACGCACATTTAAATCTTTTCTTCCAAGATCTGTATTTGTGGGCTCTTTAAATATTTTTCTTGCATCTGTTGGAAAAACAAAAATTGTTTTTTTATCATTTCTATATATATACTATATTTTTCAATACCAGTTAATTCCATAGGCGAATCCGTTCCACGTTTCCGCAAGGACCGTCTTGAAGGATCAATTCCTTCAATTATGTTTGACTTATCCATACCTTCTTGTTCTCTGTGTTTGCGACTATGCTCTTCGTTCAAGGTTTTTGGACTGAACATGGTGTTGATTTGTGAAGTTTCAGTGGTACTTTCTATTTTTGTTTTCAATTTAGGAGATATATTAACAATTACGTCCGCTTTGCCCCTTAAATTTCTCATTCCTCTTATTGGTTTAGTATTATTCTTATTAACTTCTTCATTATTTTCCATCAAATTTTTATCAATTTTGTCAGATTTTAATTTAGTTTGTGCACCATCAGATGTTTGAGTGGGATTACTTGAATTTAATTTACTTTTTTCAATATCCTCAGTATTATCAGCTTTTTCTAGTTTTGATGATACAGTTTTTGTGGTTTTTAAGTCAATTTCATCTTTTAATTGTTCTACATGTTTTTCAATTTTTTCATCACCGTCTTCTTTGATGACACTGTCATTTTTGTCATTATCTGTAGCTTTATTAATATCCTCTAATGAATTTTTCGCTAGCTTAACACTACAAACCAATAATGTAGATCCCATCAAATCCTTTGTAACTTTCACAATTTCATCTTCTTTGTTTGTTTCATTATTTTTATTAATTAAAGGTTCCTTTTCAATACTTTTAGTGTTTGTAGCATTAGCTGTCGATGTATTGACTTTGCTCGTTTCTTCACTTTCTATTTCTTTGTCTGAATTCTTAATACTTCGAGTATTAAAATCTCTTTTAATTTTAGTTACTACTGGAATAGATACAGCATTTATTTCTTCTACTTTATTATCAACAAGTTTATCTTCAGATACCGGATTTGATGTCCCTTTTTTAATATCTTTATCAAAAGAATTATCATTTTTTACTGAAATATTTAGATCTTCTTTCCCCATTTTTGATTCTTTCTTTTCTCTTGCATCTTTTTCGGATTGAAGATCTTTCATTTCTTTTTCTTCTTCAGATCCTTGTGTTTCAGTAATTTTATTTGCAACGGATTCTAAGCTTGATTTCTTAATTACAATTTTTTGTGGAGGAGTTTGATTTTTTTTAACATTAAGTGTTACTTTTGGTTCTGTTTTACTTAAAGTATCAGTTTTATTTTCTATTTTTTGAACAGGAGTTTTATGCGACTCTCTTGAAGTGTCTCTAACAGATTTTTGAATGGTTTGCGGATTTTCATATGGCATTGGAAGAATTTTAGACTCAGATTTTTTTTCTGAAAATTTATTTAGAATTTTAATGTGAGGTGTTATCTCATTTTTATCATCACTTCCCTCAATATTAGTTTGTATTGCTGATTTTTTGTTTTTTGAACTACTGCTTTCAACATTTAATGTAGGTTTTATAGTTGATGACGGATTCGGCTCCTTTATTTCTGACTTTCGAAGAGAAATTTTATCAGTTTTAATATTAACGGCAGTAGTTAAAGTTTCCATTTTCATAGTATGTGAATTTGAACGTCTTGAATCTTTGTTCTCAGTTGCCATCCTAACATTAGTTGTTTGGGAATCGGATTGTCGTGTTTCCCTATTATCAGTTTCTAACTTTATATTGATTTGGGAGTTTGATCGCCGTAAATCTTTATTCTCAGTTCCAATTTTCGTATTGGTACTTTGAAAGTTCGATCGTCGTGATTCTCTGTTGTCAGTTTCTATTCTTGTGTTGACTGCTTGGGAATTCGATCGTCGTAAATCTTTATTCTCATTTTCTATTCTCTTATTGGTAGTTTGAGAATTCGATCGACGTAAATCCTTATTATCAGTTTCTATCCTTGTGGTGGTTGTTTGTGAATTTGATCGTCGTAAATCTCTGTTTTCAATTGATAACTTTGTGTTGGTTGTTTGCGAATTCGATCGTCGTGAATCTTTATTCTCTGTTTCGACTTTCATTCGGGATGGTGATTCATGTTGATTGAACACGGGTTTTGTGTTTTGCTTTGGAATAATCCCTTTTCTACCTTGTTCACTTTTTTGTTGAGATTTATTCAATTCCACTTTTTTACCTTGGGTTTCTTTTCTGTTTTGCGTTGGAGATGGTTTTCCAACTGAAAATTTTTCTTCGCTACTCATAGAAGAAGATCTGGACTTACTTAATTGTTCCCTACTAGGTGACTTTTGAAATGATTCTCTAAAAGTAGGTTTTTGCACATCCTGTCCAGATTTATGTAATTTCTCAACAGGTTCTTTAAATTGTTCTCTTGTTTTAACCTGAGTATTTGCTCTTTTAGGTGATTCTGAAGGGTTTCTAGTTTTTGAAGGTGACTGAGCTATACTAATCTCAATTTTTCTACTTCTATGTGGTTCACTCGTCACTACAGAAATATTTGTTGAAACTTTTTCTTTTGATCCCTTGGTATTCTTTGACAACATTAAGATTTCATTAGCTGTCGGCTTATCAGTTTTTTGATTACCTATAGTACTTTCTTGTACCTGCTGTGATACATTCCGACTGTCTTTAATAGTATCCTTTTTATTATTTTGATCATCTTTTTTTCTCGGAGTAGTTTTGTTTTTATCTTCTCTGTTCTCCATAAACTTTTTGGTTGTGCTTTGCAACTTCAGATTATCTGAATCTTCATCCTTTGAAGAACTATAACCTTTACTTTCGTTTTTTTCTTCTTCTTTAGCCTTAGATACTGATAACTGAATTTCAGTTTTAGTGCTCATATCTTTCTTTTCGTCATTTTTTTCTTGTTTATTTTTTGTTCTACTTTTTTCTACTTCGTTTATACTTTTTTCAACTATATTAGAAATATTTTTTGTTTCAACATTACAAATCTCTTTTACGCTCTTATTTGTAGAAGTCTTTAATTTTTGTGATACAGTACTCTTTTTATCCACAATTTTTTGAATTGGTTTTTCTTGTTTGGACATATCAAGTTTCTCTTTCGATTTTAAACTTTTTGTGTCTTTAGTTTCCATTGAAGAGTCCTTTTTTAACTCCTTTGAATTAACTTTGTCTTCATTGGATAGGCTTATGTTTTCTTCTTTCGATAATTTATTTATAACGTCTTTATTATCTGAAGAAGTTACTCTTTTATCATCAATGTCCTTTCTTAATTCTTTAGAATTTCCTTTTTTATCGTCATTTGTTTGTGCTGCTTTTACTAATTTTGATGGAGACTTGGAACTATCCTTTGATTTTAGATTTGTGGTTTCCTTATTTTCTGGTGAATTTGTTTCACTAACATCTAAGCTTCTTTTCACTTCATTTGGAATAGATTTTTTGTTATCATTTGCTGCATATTTATCTTGTTTTGGTGAATTTATTTTAGATTTTAAATGTGATGTCTCTTTACTTCTGAAAAAAGTATTTTTACCAACTTCGGCATCCTTAATTGTTACCTGTGACGTCATTTTTTTGTCTTTACTTGATTTATTATTTTTTTGTGTATCTGATGTTAAAGTTGACCTTTTATTAATCTCCAACTCTTTACTAGTCTCCTGAGACGTCAATTGTTTTTCTTTATTTGTTTTATCAAATTTTAATGTATTCGATGTTAAAGCCGACTTTTTATTTGTCTCAGTTTCCTCCACCGCCTCCTGTGACGTTATTTGTTCTTCTTCATTTATGTCATTGTTTGCCGTATTTGATACTAATGTTAAATTTGAATTTTTGGCATCTTTACTGTCTGTTGTATTTGTCTTATCCTCATTTCTCTTCTCCTTATTTAACTTTTTATCACTATTGCTTTGATCCTTCTTGATTTTAGAAGTATTTAAATGTGAAGCTGATTTTACATTTTTCAAACATTTATCTTCTGAAACCTTTTTAGTATTTTCAGTATCCACCTTTGAATCCGGAAAGGTTACACTTTTATCCTTGTTTAAACGATTTGTCACCTCTGTAACTTCTACAGATCTCTTTCTGTCTAAAGCCTTTTTGTTTACCTGCGACGTACTCTGCTTTACATCCTTTATGGGAGTTTTCTTCATAGTTCCCGTTTCTTTTTCTTCTGAATTTTTCTCAAAGTCTGTAAAATCTTTTTTTAAAACTTTGGAACTTGTTTTTTTAAATTCAATTGATGGCTCTAAGTCTTTCGTAGTCGAAATTGTTTCACCTTCTGAAGATTTGTTTTCCACATCTTGTAAAACATCTCCCTTTCCTTCTTTTATTTGATTTGTTTTCTGTTGTGTGTCAATTTCATCGTAAATATCCTTTATCTCTTGAAGAGTCGTAACATCATCATTATATTCTGAAGCAATGCTACTTTCATTCAATAAAATATCTTTGAGCTCAGAAACACCAATATTAAAAGATTCATCTTTAGTTTTAGGTGATGCTCCTTTCTTATTTATTTTACTATCCCTAGATGTTTTAGCTTTATGTTTAGATGGTGAAGTTTTTTCTGTATCGGAAATTGTATTCCTTTTGTTATTAGAATCACTATCTGTACGTTTCATACTCGTATTAGCCAGTGGTTCTGCATCACATAAAGAGTCCGTAAGGTTATATTGATCAGTTTTAGACTCAATAATTGTCGTTGTTACATTGGATTGTTCTGATACTTCTTTTGTTGAAATAAAATACGTATCATTAGATTCTTGTGATTGTTTGATTAAGTTATCAGAACTATTATAGTTACTACTAAACAAATTTGTAACATCACTTGTCACAGAAGTGACATCTTGCGTTGTAGTTGTCACATCATCAAATCTCATAACTGTTGTGGTGTCTGTTGTACAGGTATCTGTCGTGGTTATAGATTTCTCTGTAGAAAAAAAAATTATGTATAAAATTTATATAATTTTTGTATGAAATTACCAAACCTTGTTCTGGTAGTGCTTCTACAATTTCGTGTAGCACAGAATTGAGTGTTCCAGCTTCAATTTTGGTATCTAAACCGATTGATTTCTTTGAGGTCACACCTGTTAGAGATTCGAGTAGTGATGTATCTAGACGATCTAAAACTTCGTTACTAAGAATGGTGATTTTTTCTTTCTCGGATCTGTTTGATACATTTCTACTTTGTGATATATTGGAATTAACTGATGATGATGCTTGTTCATCAATATTGTGAGCATTGAAAGATGGTGTGCTTGAACTATTATACACTGCAGGTATTTCTTTAATTTATAGCAAAATAGTATATTATTAATCTATAAATAAATTTTTATACACTGATGCTAATAATAAGAATATTTACCTATTTGGTCAAGGTTTTCAATTGGTGGATTTAAATCATCTAAAAGTTGTCGCTCATCATCGTTATCAATATCACTTAGAGAAAGATATGAGTCATCAGCATCCGACATGTCAGAAAATGTATATGAACCTGAACCTAATAAATCCGATGCAGTATCACTATCGATTCCAGCTAAAATTTAAAAAAAAAAATTTTAATTTTTTTAATTTAATTTAAATAATAACTAAAAATGAGTTATATTATGAAGTCGTTACTGTAATAATAGTTCATTTCTTTAGAGCTCTTGTAGGATTCGATATATATAGGGACTCAATATATATATATAGGGATTCGATATATATATATAGGGCCTCAATATATATATAAAAGAATAATGAACAAGCAAAAACATTAAAAATGATAAGTAATACTTAAACTAGCTTTAATACTATATAAATATGTATGAATTATATATGTTAAATCGGAATGAAATTGTTGTTAAATCGTTTTATTTGTTAGCCGTCATTTATTTGAAAGTATTTAGATAAGTAGAAGTTTATGTAATTATATAAATAACCATAAGCACTTATACTTATTATTAGCTTTTTTAGTCGACCAAATGCCTGCGACAAGTGCATCGCTTTTTGTATGGGAAGTAGAAGTAAAATGTAGCGTAAAAGTAGGCGAATTAAAAAGGATGCAAAACAACAACATTTAGATGAACAATCTTTATCTATGCTTGAAATCAATAAAGCATTTCATAATGCAGTTATTTTGGAGTTGTTATGATAGCAATGTTATCTAAAACTTGGTATACTAACATACAGTAGGACTATAACCTAAATGTTTGGGCTGGACGTATGCATATATATTTTTAGACTTAATATGATTTTTAACATACTCCAGTACATTACATACATTACATTACAGTACAACATAATTTGGTTAGTGAGATAGATTCATTTTGTAAACTTATATTACTAGATGTGATAAGAAATAATGTTGGCATTCCATTTTTTAAATTTGATAAGTATTTTAAGATTTCTTAAAATTATATTTTAACAAAGAAATGATGTGAGTTTCATCTACAATAACAATTTGGTTAAATGTTCTGATTTTTAATGCAATCTGATGAACATAATAAGCCCAATAAATAAATAACATAACTATAATTTACACAATAACATATTAAAAATGAAATTATAAATGGAATATATAATTCGAGACACTCTTCTAGACCTAAATGGATGCGTTTTATACATTACAGTAAAACCTTATAGATCATAACACATAGAAAATGTCCCAAAATGGCAGCACATCATTTTGTAAGCTAAATCGTATGACTATGAATTGCGGAAATCATCTACGGTTGAAACGAATATTTTCAAGAAATCATAACATAACACATTTACCCAATTCACTTATCAAAAGCCATGACACTTAACAGTTCTAAAAAATATAATAAACAACTATAAATAATAATAATTAAATAATAAAATATGTAATTTTTACTAAGAGGTGCATTTTCTTTTAATATAAAGTAAAGACCACTAACATGCAAATAAACAAATTTTTATTTCATTTCTATAAGATGCAATTTCAGTAAAAGTAATGAATTTTTGAGTCTGATAGTTTCCACTAACCTAATGGATCATCTGCTGGATCTTTTGAAAGAGGTTTTTCAGGCTTAATAATGGTTTGCACCGGGTCTTTCTTTTTGTTAACGCCAGTTGAAGATGTAGCTGTAGAAAATTTTTTTGCCGATGTAGCTAAACTAGGACTTATCGATGTTGATTGAACGTTACCACTTCGACTAGTTGACGAAATCTAATAGTAAATTTACAAATATTTGTTAGTATGTAATCAGTTTAAAAGAAAAAAAAAACATATTACATATTTGCTAATGTAAAGAACTTACCAATTCTTGTTCGTTTTGATTTTCTATAGGTTTACCAGCCGTTGCAGATTTATCTTTTCCAAGACGCACAATATTAGATTTATTTTTTAAATCGGTTTTTGATTCCAATTCTTGATTTTTTCCTGCTTTTTTGGTTTGACCTATTGAAACATTTGACAATTTAGAAACATATAAATGATAATTTGAATTTTATAATTGCCTTTCACATTAGTTTTCGTAGGTTTACTAGGAGACCTCTTATCTACTGTTTGATTTAATACGTTACTACTTGTTGGAAGTTGCTCTCCTAAAATATAACAATCGATTAAAAATTTTTGATATATATGATATAATAGTACCCAAATCTTTTACTAGCATATCAAGTGAATCCATAGACGAGCGATCTTCCCGTCGATTTAATTTTGGATCTAATTTTGTTAAATAAAAGTAAAATTAAAGTAAAAAAAAGTAAAAAGTATACAAAAAGGCACAAGTTTAATGTCAATAAGAAAAGCGGAAAGATTCATTTATTGTTTATTTTTGAAAGTTTTTCTATACAAACACTTAAGTTGGAAAAGTTGTAGATACATTTATCCAGACAGTAAACTTTCTCACCTTTCTTTTCTACCGCCGTTTCGTCATCTGATCGACTGTCAAATAAACTCTCAAATATATCTTGATCTATTGAAGAGGAATCTTCGCCGTCTGCCGGGTGCTGAACAGTTTTTGATTGCTTAGACATGCCTGTATTTGAATTAATTACTATACAATTATAATACAAATGTAACGCTAATATATCATTGATTTTTCTAAAGAACAAACCCTTACCTGGTAGTACCAAATCTTCGTATTCTTCCAAATACTCTATATCTTCCATTTTATAGAAATATTATTACTTTTATATACCGCATTTAATCGACGTTCTTCTCATTTTGAAGAGTATAGCGAAATTAAATATGTAATAGTAATCAACTTGATAGTAATTTATTGTAATATTATTAAAATTTCACAACACTTTCTTCGCACTTATAACAAGGCGTTTGAAACCAATCTAATAGTTATTAACAAATAACTTTTGTCAATTCATGAATATTAACTCAATGCGCGTATGTACAGAACACTAAGCGTATAAATCTCTTTAAAAAATTGACGCTAAAGCGCTTGGCAGCAGTGATAACATTAAATGTATAATTACAATTTTTAGAATTCACTGCACACATTCAATAAGTTTTTAATACATTTCTAAAATCCGCCAATAAAAATTTAAAAAATGTATAAATTATATACCGCTTCACAAAAATTTATGCTCTTGCAAAATTATATCTTTCTGCGTGAAATTAGATGCCATATATATTTTATACATGACCATTCACAATAACGAACACACAAACACATTCTGACAAATTCATGACACAAAGTTGCAGATATGCATTTCGTGGTGAATTTTTCTGCAACCGCTCTCTTATGTACGGATTGCACACATCACAGATATTTTATTTATCATAATAATAAACTACAATTTCATTAAGTAAATCAAATCACAATCTTAATTTTTCATATATTTCCACATTTTTAAATAGTTTAAATTTTATTACACAGGTGTACAATATTCAATAAATTATATTAACTAAGAAACCATAATTATGAAAATTTCATTTTGTTATATTCTGTTACGCCTACACCACACTTGAGTCATTTTAGAGGATTAATTTTGGTGCATTAATTTTTTATGCTTTATACACTTAATGAATTATGCAAATTGAAAGTTCATAATAATGAACTCTACTTAGTTATTTGTGTTTGTGTGTCAAGAAATAAAATAAATATATTTTGAGAAGAAATTTAACATTTATATTAGTATTCAAAAATTACATATATTTTTTTTATTTTTACTGTTCAATGTTCCGTTCAGCCATCAAAAATAAAATGCTTAGGTAAATGTAAAATAAAAAATAATAAAAAATGACAAGATGAATATTATGCCCGTATAGATTTCATCACTTTTTCAACAGCATTGAAATCCACTAAATGCAGTAAACTGTGCGAAAACTGTTATAAAAACTAATTTTAATCCTCAAATATGGAATGGTTTTTGTGGCATTTTCCATTTTTAATTCTGAATTCAAAAAGGATTTACCCTGAATACATACTTCTTTGTTTTCCAACTTTTGGAGATTTCTCACAGTCACGATATCATCACAAAGTGATTCTATATATATATTGAAAAGACCTTTAGATGTCACGTTTTGTGTTAATCTGACTGTCCGAGAGTTACATATAGATCGATTGGCTTTGTAGTGACACCAGTTGGAGCTAAATCTCCATCGTTGTTTTTTTTTCCAAATCTAAGAAATAATTGACGGAACTATCAAACATTTTTTTTTTTGAATTTTTAAGGTGCTTTATATAAATACATAATGTATCGAGCTTTCATTTCGTTCAAGAAACCGTATAATATAGAATATTATTACCGTTTCTTCTTCAACAAAATTTTTTATTTTCATTAATGAGCAAAGATCAAATGGTTGCTTTGATGTGGATGCACCTTTACGTTATCTGTTTTTCATGTTCCCGTGGGCTACAACAATAACACCAACGAGCCGAAAAACGAAATCATACAAAACAAACGAGAAATTTATATAACAGTTGTTTACAAATCAACAACAAAAAAAGCCAAAACTCTGGATTAAATCCAGACTTGGAATTTATTATCTACGGCATTCCACAATCAGCAACAATGAGACGTTTATATTAACTAAAACATTGCCTTAACTAACACAATGCAATATATTTAATTGACAAATTTTCTAGCTCTGATGACTACGGTGAGAGCAAGTCTACGAATATGTTAGAATTTTTGCAGCTGTTGCTACGTTTATCTTTAACAATATCTTAATTTAAAAATGTATATAAATATTATTCATGCGAATCTTAATTAAAATATCATAAAGCACGAATTCCATAACTAAAAGAATAATTGTTAACTATAATATTTATACACAAATGATATAAATAAACAGACATTATGGCGACTTACTTGATATTTTTTTTAATGCTATTGCAGTTTTAAAAAATGTAGAGTTTATTTATTCATGGTGAATTTAGTGACAAAAGTTATTGTGAATGATTACCGCATACAACTCTGCAACTTAATTTTTATACAAAAGAAAAAAACTTAACGATCTTTAGATGAAGCAATTGAAAATTAAATTAAAATTGAACAACTAAACACTACACATACTTAAAAATATTTTTTTTGAAGTGGTTTATTATAAGTTAATTAACATTATATCCCGGATTCTTTTGTATTCGCAGTCTTAGAAAAATGGGCGTAGTCTTTCATAAACGTATACTTTTTTTGCCAATATTAATATTTATAAATAAATTTCTATAATTATCTTACTGCTTAAAATGTAATTATTATAATTGCATATATATGACAATTCATACTTCGTTTATTCTATAAGTGGGTTTTAGCATAATAATTTCTTAGAAGAAAAATATGTTTAACTCAATAGCCTTCTGATGTACTCTGAAAATAACCTTTTTCTTAACGTGATGAAACAGTTAAATTTCGTTTAATTGCATATCTATATAAACGCATTCAAGTATGTTTAATTGCCAGCATAATTGTATAAGCCAATTAACAATTATCTTTAAACCAGTTAATAATTATCTTTAATTTGTTTCAGAACGACGCACCTAGCAATCAAGTTACTTATTCTTAGTTCATTTTAAAATTCATTTTAATGTTAACTCAAAAATAAATAATTGATCTTGAGCTTGTCATGCTAAGTTCACCAACAACATATTAAAAATGTTAAATGCATTTTTGTACTAATTTTTTTATAGAATTTGCATATAATCTTAGATAGTCCTAATAAAAACGCTGCACTAACTTTTTTCTCATATCAATCATATACATATTTTTTGTATTGGATATATTTTAATCTATATTTCTCAAATATAGATGTCTATTGAAGGATCACCCAAATTTTAATTTATTAAAAAGTTGTTAAGTATGGTTTTCTGTGCCAATAGTTTTGTCCTTTTTATAATGGAGGATACTAAAGAATTTCGATTTTTTGGAAATATTTCACTAATATGTATATATTTTTGTGTTTTAGAATTAAGATTCTGAATAAAAACATTAGTATAATGGTAATAAAAATTTATGTACTTAATTCGGTCAGAATTTGTATTATCAAAAATTTTGTACGCCATTTCATATAAAGCAAAACAAATAGTATATATATCAATAAATTTTGTACAGGACTTCATAATAACAAGAATCAACCGATGTTTTGCCGAAAACATAGTGCAAATACTATAAGACCTGATCCTTGAGCAACTCATCAAATAAGTGACGTTGGAGTTTTAAGCATGAATAGACGATGCTACATATCTGCACACCAAGTATAATGTTCAAATATGCGCTTTGCTATACACTTTGAAAGAATATATGCATACTTCATTTTAAATGAATTTCTACAGCGTTCAGAACAACAGCAGAGCAAGTACAGAGTGCAAAATCGTAATCGAAACTGAAGGAACTGAGATGATGATGATAATAGCAACACGTTATTTATTTTATTATATAAAGATTTCATCTTTAATAATTGTTTGTAGAACTTTTTTTCAAATTTGTGTCTTTTAAAGAAAATATATGTCTACAACTTTTTCAATTATTTCACAATTCTTTGCGATCTTTACTCGTCCAACCCTCACCAAAATTCTTAAATTATGAGAAGTCTGCAGATTTCGATATACACAAGCAGACATGTGTTCAGACTTAACAAATAATTGAAAAATTTTAATTTTACCGCATACATGTCTCAGATCGAAATTTGGTATGCGAACTTGAAAATAGACGGTGTGATTTGGTAGCACACAGAACGAAATTAGGGAAAATGAACTTAATTTCGTTGAAATGAAGACTAAAATTAAGGAAAATTTCAAATAGAACTATGCGAAAGATAAATTTGAGAAAAAATGAGATAACGAAAAACAAATTTTTTTTTTTGTTGTAATAAATATCAATGACAGCTGACTTTAATTAAAATATTTCGAAAGAAGTGCATATTTAATTCGAATATAGGGAAAGAACTGTAACTGTATTAATTTTAAAAAGTCGAAAAATAATAATTCACATACCTTAAATTCACTAAAGCTAATAAAACTACTGAATGCCATCCTTTATAGTTATAATAACCAAATTTTAAAATTTCGCAAACATTAATGGTGTTTTGAGCATGTATTTTTTAACATTCGATTTGTAAACGAAAAAACATGTGATGTTCTTTAATTTGGAGCAGTATGAACACTTTCCAAATTAAGTTAATTTCATTTTAACGAAATTAAAGAAGTTTGGCTGTTTGAACATACTGAACTTTTAAAATTTCGCAAAAATAAATGGTGTTTTGAGCATGTATTTTTTAACATTCGATTTGTAAACGAAAAAACATGTGATGTTCTTTAATTTGGAGCAGTATGAACACTTTCCAAATTAAGTTAATTTCATTTTAACGAAATTAAAGAAGTTTGGCTGTTTGAACATACTGAACTTTTAAAATTTCGCAAAAATAAATGGTGTTTTGAGCATGTATTTTTTAACATTCGATTTGTAAACGAAAAAACATGTGATGTTCTTTAATTTGGAGCAGTATGAACACTTTCCAAATTAAGTTAATTTCATTTTAACGAAATTAAAGAAATTTGACTGTAAACTATAATATAAATATCAATATACGAAAATATAAAATATAATAGAACCGATTTAACATATATCAATATTATATATAAATATTACTTATTTTTCTGTCCAAACTTCCGAACGAGTTACAATTTAATGTATCGAATTTTTTTTTATTATAGTATGTATATAAATGCAATAAAACTTACCGTAAAACTTTTCCACCGTAAAAGACGTCAATTATTTTCAATTTTTTCTTTTAATTATTATTTTAAATTTGATAAAATTTTGAAGTACATTGCAAAAATTTTTATAAAACGCATCACACGGTATTAAACTATTTCACTTGTATTTGCCGGCTATTCTGTGAAAGACATCGATAAGTTTTCGTTTTCTGCGGTTGGCTGCAGTGCTTGCAAATAAATATTTTACGATTTTGACATTTGTGCGCTTGATATACCTGAAACCGGTGTTTCTATTTCTGTTTTTTACGCAAAATTAAAACTTTAACTAATTTCTAGACAGTGAATGA